GAGATGATGGGCTATCTAACTATGTATAAATCTAAAAATCGATATTTTTGTCGAAAATTTCTTTTTTTTGAGAGGGGGATGGGTCTTAAAGATTTTATTTGATATTCTTTTCTTTCTACTATTTCTTTTTTAATATTTTTCTGAAGATATTCATTCATTTCAAGAAACATTGCATAAATAAGAAGTGCTTGCTCCACATCCGGACAAATTTTGATTATTTCTGTAACTATTGGATTACTTGGGGTTTTCCTATGTAAAGAATTTTTTTTCTTTTTTCGTTTTCAGACTTTGCTGTGTAAAATACAGTTGAAACCATCGAGCAAGTGCCAGCCATTTTTCCACCAGCATACTTCGAGATTTTTCATTGTAAACAACTTCTTGGCACTGTTGTGTTGAAACATACGAACGAGCTTGTTGTGTTGTGTTGAAATAATTTTGCTTTCTTTTCATAAGCTTTGGTATTTTTTGTAAAATAGAACAACTGAGCACCTGCATTATTTTCATTTTTTTCATTTTCCAAATCATTGAGAAGTTCGATAATATTATTGACAGAATTTTTGCTTAATACTCTATCCTCGAGGTGTTTGTAAACTAAATGGTATGCTTTCAGTCGGCATTGTACCTCTTGCTAATGTGATCTGTTGAATGGCAAAATCTGGCAATTATTTAATTATTCTTTCTTTATTTTTATTCATTTCATCTATGATTGTTCCTTAAGTCTTTTTCTTTTCCTCTTGAAATCATACTCTGAGCTGCTTCTTTCTGGATTCCTTATTATCATCAGAAATATGTTGCTGAATCTTTTACCATTTAATAATCTTGATATCACATTCATTTTGCAAACTTTTTGAAGTAGACTCTATTTTACTAACAATTTTTCTTTTCTCAATAACTTTTTTATACTTTTGAATTGCTTGTATTTTTCAGGCTGTAATGGCATAATGTAATCGGCAAATTACTAATTTTTCTTCAAATGATTGTAATTTGATGTCTTGATCGTAACGATTATTAACTTTTTCTACAAAGACGGTTTCTTTATCGTCAAAACTATTTCCGATGTTATCAGCTATGCTATATGGAACTTTAATAAGCTTTACTTGCTCTGCGATTATTGTATCATCCATTGGTTGCTGGGCTGCTGGGTTTGGTGTATTCTCACTGACAATACACCAGAATACGCAAATGTTGACAATATATAATATAGTGTCGCGGTCGTGGGTGGGGGGGGGGGGGGGGGCCCTGACCACGATAATATATTATATATTGTCAATATTTGCGTATTCTGGTGTATTCTCTTGTATTGTCAGTGAGAATACACCAAGCCCAGCACATTTTATAGAAATTTATATATTTGCGTATTCTGGTGTATTCTCGTGTATTGTCAGTGAGAATACAGTTGCTGGGCTTGGTGTATTCTCAGTGGGAATGCACGAGAATGCACCAAGCTCAGCAAGTTTGAAAAAAACAGTCTCTTTTTGAGAATACACTGCGTAGTGATATTTTGACACCCCTCCATAATATCTGTAATAATTTTGTCAAATTCTGCCTTTTACATAATTTCTTTAATGGAATCAATCAGAAGAATATTATTGAATAGATTAATTGTTGTCCAAATTTCCGATGCTTTCTGAATCCAATCACTAAGACTCTTGAATTGTTGATTTGGTGAATTAGCTTGGTCAAAAACAATCTTTCTTAAATCTTGAATTTGTTCTGCAAATTTGGCATTTGTTGTTGATTTTTGAAACAATTCTTTATTATTGTTATAAAAAAAATCTTTATTAAAGGCTGTTAACATTAAGAAAACGGCGTTTTCTTCTTGGAAATCAAGCACTTCGCTTAATTCAACTGTACTCAGTTCACAAATTTCTTTTAGTTACTTTAATACACTAACAATCATTTCCTTTTGTAATCCAACATCTAAGTTCATCATATTTCTCAAAATAAAAATAATGACCGGACGAACTGATTAGCAGCAAAAAGGCTGATGGTAAAAATCTTTTTCATTGATGCATTAAGTTCTCCATTTAAGTTAACAAGCATAATTTGTGAACATGCTATTGAAAACATAGTTAACTTTTTATCATATTCTTCGTTTGCTTTTTCAACAGACATAAGTCCTTCTGTGACAAGTATCAGCAATTCTCTTGAATTTGAATATTTTATTTTAAAAAGAGATGCATATGAACCTTTTGTGCAACGACCGACACTCATTTGAAAAGCACTACCAAATAACATATTTAAGAGAGTCGATTTTCCCGAACTTTGTGGTCCAACGACTGAAACAATAAATAGTATTCTTTCGTTAACTTGAACAAACTTCATATCAAGTCCTCTGTAGATATTCGAAACAATTTTTGAATTTTATTATCACCATCATCTTTTTTTCTTTTTCAAACTTTTCTTTTAAACTTTTGTATTTTTCTAATTCTGCAGGATCATTATTTTTGTTCTCAAGATCCTCAATTTTGTACACGCTACTAAATTAGCCAAAATATCATTTCTTTCTTGGAACAATGGAGATAAGATAGGACTTTGCCAAACGCTCACTCGTTGATCCATTTCATTGATCAAATGAAGCCCTTATCTTATAAATAGGCCAGTATATTCATAAACTAAATCATTTGGCAACGTAGATGCTTTATTTTCAGATAAATCCTCGATTTTTTTATCAATTTTGGCTAATGCAGTTTGTTTTGTTTCTGCATCTTTCCCAACAAGTTCACCTGTTTTCTTTCGTTCAATTTATATTGTATTATTTATATCAATATGTTTAAGTAAAAATGATTGTAAGTTGTTCATGTTTCTATTAATCTTCTCTAATTGCTTATCAATCTCAATAGAAAATTTCTTAAATTATCATCTTGAATATCAATATGAATGTTACTAAAGTGCTCATTATGGATATGGTTTTCAATTTCCATACAGACATTGTAATCCTTACGTCGTAAACTATCCGCAATTGGTATACGCGAGTTTTATCCAGTTCCGGATTAAAGATATTTTCTTTTAAAACTTCCAAGTTTGAATCGAATGTAGCATTATTATCTTCAATTTTTGCAATTGATACAACATTCTTCATTCCGTTATTCATGAACTTTTCTGTTTCTTTATTTGTCAATTCTTCACAATCTCGTGCAATACAGATTATTTGATATTCATTTAGACCAAATGATTTTAACATTTTGAACATTGTATCAGTTTCGTTGAATGATCTACGTTGAAGAAGAATCCAACAATTTTGAATAGGCATCATCATAAAAAACACTTTAAGGAGATGTTTTTGCTTGCGAACATGATCATGAATATCAAATATTGTGAAACCAAAAGCGGCGACGTTCTTTTCAGAATATTTGAATTTAATTCCGTATAAATAAATTCCTTTCTTTAATTTGTTTATTATATAGGGTAACATCACATCAAGAAGTGATCTGCCAGTGTTATTGTCTAATTCCTTTTTAATAATTTGTTAAAAATCATCAAAATTAAGAGGTTCGATCGTTAAAAATAAGTCTTCCAAATAGTTTTCGTTGTTACCGAACATTATTGTTTGAAGATGTTGAATATTTTCGATTTTCTCATTGTCGGAAGTATTGATGATATTCTGAATAATTTCGTTGTTCTCAATTTCGTCTATTAATATTGGTACATGTTTTTTGATCATTTCACTTGTTACAACGGTCGCAGCTTACTCAATTTCCTTAATAAGAAGACATTGCACGAATTTGATATACAGTGAATGTTTAACGGTCTTAAAGTTATTCTTTTTCCAAATATTATCCAATTCGGTTTGTAATAACTCTGCATTCTTCTTCTGTATAGATGGTAACGTAATGCTATTTTCTGTATTACCAGTTATGCTTCTAATTTTTTCATTATTAATTAACTCTGATTCTAGATTTCTGTAAGCAGAAGGTGTCAGTTCATCTTTGATTACCATTAGTCCTTTCCTAAAATTTGATATTAATTCTAACACTATCTCGTCTATACCATTAGCTGGAAAATCATATTTCTACAAAATAGCATTCAAAGTAACATTAACTGGCGCTGGTGGTTTATTATTCACTCGACTGTTAGCGGTGTCGGCTGACTGTCTCGATAATTTGAAATGCCAAATTGTTTTTAGCTTTTCATTTTGAACTGAAATTTTTCGATGAGTTATTTGATCTTTTTACCAGTGAAGATATCTTTGAAAAAATCAGAAGCAGTAACTGAAATATTTTGGTCATTGCTGTCGAAAAACGTTAACACAAACGATTTAGAGTTTGTTTGATCGAATTTTGATAAAACGTCTTTCGATTGAAGCAAATTATTGATCTCACTTTTAAATTCGTCGTATAAAGGATCAACCAGATCAGCTTTTTTGGCTTTGGAAATTTCTTTAATTTTATCATTGTTCATGAAATCATTCTTAAAACTATCAAATCTTTTTCCAACAGATGGTCTTCGATAGATTCGAAAGCTTTCACATCTTCATCGGATAATCGTCGTGCTGTACTAACAAAATCTAATTCATCATCGACTTCGTACTGTTTCTAGAGCGGCTCTAATTGGTTTTTGAATTGATTAAAGAGAGCCTCGTCTTCGGGAACTTTTGTTGCTAAATCTGCTGATTTCCAAATTTTATTGAATTCAGGGTCATTCATAAATTTTTTCTCAAAAGAAATGTATTCCTCATGAATTAACAATTCTTTAATATTCTCTAATGCTTCCATGTTTTGATTATAAAGCTGAAGGGCGACTTTCTCGAACTCCAGTTCTTTCAGCGGAACTGAATATTCAACCAAAAGGTTGTTGAGTATAGTTTTGAACTCGGTAAATAAATTACCATGTTCAGCCATCGTTCATTTATTTAAAGATTATTTTAATCTATCGTGGAAACCACCTTCTTTATACTTAAAATTTAATTGTTGATTTAATTTATGGGTGTGTGCAGAGTTCGTGAATTGCATCAAGAAACACTCACATGTAGCCACATCAAATGCTCTGGATCTGGAAGAAATAATTTTAGAAGAAAATGATCTGTAGATCAAAAGATCAACAATCAGGCTTCTGCAGTATCACATTGGACAATGTACATATAACAACCGGTGAGTGACTTGCGTGCCATTGTACCGTTCAGTTCCAATATGTAAAATGCAGATATCTTCGGTTCTGTTCAAGCAAACTCAATAAGTTTTTTTTGTTTCCAAGCTCTCACGCTTCCTCATCAGTCCTAATCAAGTCATCATCTCATTTTGTCTGGCTGCGGAGCTAGAGATCAAACATGATGTAAAACTCTGATTTTTAGCGCTATCTAGCAAGCAAAATTTGTTTTTTTCCAAAAGTGGGTTTGACTTTCAAACCTGAGATAACACTAAGTTTTGTAGAGAACACCTCAGGCTTTCAGAATATGTGCTTTGAGTTGAAATTCGAACATGTGTTTCTGTCGAAAAATCAAAAATATTGACTTGACAAACACATTACCAGTTATTTATCCACCGACATTGAAGTTGAGTTATCACAGTAAATTTTTAATAAAATTTTAGCTGTCATCCTCTGTCGAGTGACTCTGATAATAGGCAAAAGTCACTGTTAGCTCATTTATACTTACACACTTTCGAGCAACGTTTGAATGAATGTATGCGCCATCTATCAAAGGTTTTTGCAGTGACCTCTTGATTCCTCCCACCAATGCATACGTAGGCAAAACTTAGAGCAAACTGATCGATAAGCGTTATTTACTAGATTATTCATACTTTCTGGATAGAGAGAGGTGCTTTCCCCAATTTTCATTGGCTTATTTATCAACTTATAGTTTGACAAGCAACAGCCGTTTGGTGCAACTTGGACGAATAGCAAACAGTGATGGATATCGGCAAGATAAACTGGTTTATTTTTTCGCATGCTCTGTTATGTGTTTTGTGTGACTGATTTTAAATTTAGCTTGATATTTTATGTTTTTTGGTTGCGATGTTTTACCGTTTTGTGCTGAAGCTGGTCCTCGCCAGTTCTCATCTGTTTCCAAAAACATTGCTGAGTACTGTAAGAATATTCAAGCTTGACTAAACGTCGCCTAAGCATGTTGATTGTTATATGTTTTTCCCCTTGAAAAGAAAAGAAGGAACAGATATGACACACGCGCTATTTCATTTTATCTTTACATAGAGTATGCATTAATATTTCAGTTAAAACTCAATGTTTTGTTCGTTGATACTTCCAAATTTTCGTGGAACATTTAAATTTATACAAAGAACGATCACCAGCCACGCAACTGTTCGTACTCCTGAACAACATACTATAACATTAAACAATCGTCCCATTAACGAATCAGGTTTATTAGGTTCAATACAATTAAATGTGTGGGAATGGCCAGGTAAATCACCTCTTATTCTTATATGTCATGGTACGTCAAATCATGGACGTTGCTTCGATCAAATAATTGCTAATTTGCCTAGTGATCAACATATTATTACATTTGATTTTCGTGGGCATGGTTACAGCAGTCAATCACCGCCCTATACATTCCGTACGATTAGTGACGATTTGACTGAATTTATTGAAGTACGTGGTATAAAAAATGCAATTGGTATAGGACATTCATTGGGTGGTACAGCACTGATACTTGCCACTATATTAAAACCAACAGCTTTTTCGAATTTGTTATTGTTGGAGCCGGCAATTTTTCCAAAATCAGTTTTAGACGGAAAAACACCACTACAACAAACATCATTTGACAACATAAAACAACGACGAATTAGCACATGGAGATCAATTGATGAAATGTATGATTTTTTTAAAGATAAACCAATATTTCGAAACTGGATACCAAGTACTTTACGTGATTACTGCACATATGGCGTATTAACGGGTGGTTCTGGCGTTGTTTTATCATGTGACGTCGAAACTTCACAATCGTTTTATGTTAGTGCGATGGATAAAGAGATAAATATCTACGATAAATTATGTCAAATCGAAATACCCGTTCACATTGTTCGCTCTGGTTTCTCTTACAAACCTGGTAGATGGGATACATCATTTACGTCGCCTGATTTGGTTTCATATTTCAAAAATGCACAAGATACAAAACTGGAAAATATGTCACATTTTATACCAATGGAAGCACCATCGCTTGTTGCTGACTTAATCAAACAGATTTTAATAAAACAAAAATGTAAATTGTAATTAGTTTATGAGCTATTAAAGATAAAACTGAAAACTGTTACATATAGCATGAAGAAATACGAAAAATTAGAGTTACCACAACTGGGTAGTTTACTAGTCACTCAATTGATCATAAGAAGATGAGAAAAAGTGCAGATCAAAGTTTTAATTGTGATCAAGAATGTAAAGGATCCCGAAAACAAAAATTCTATTTTTCGCAATAATATGACTTTATAACTGTAATACTATTATACTATATAATTTAAATTTATTGTATTAATCTATAATTAGACCAGAATTATATTAACTATAATTTAATCTCCCATATACTATTCTATACTTAATAATGGTAAACTGATTATACAATATTAAGACTTACACTAATTCACTTATAGATCTAAATGATATCAATAATCAGGTCTCGCATTATGTGTATCGATTAACGGCACCTAGTTGATGATTTTTTTCAGAATAAAAACAGGATCGAGCCAAAAAATAGAATTTCTTGTTCGCTGTGAATATCATCATTGGCAGGCCGTCAGCAAGTGGAGGTAATTGCCCCTCCTGGAAAAAAATATCAAGGGCAATAATTTTGTGACTTGTTAGCTCCATCACATGAAAACGGGAAGAGTCACTCAAACTACGCGAATGTCTCTACTTTTCCCAAAAATAGAATGAATGTTCCTTCAGCGCAAGCCTATTGCTGAACGCACTTCTTGAACTGTTCTATCAGATACCATTATACATCTACCAGATAGTTTTTGGGCTTAAGAAAAAAAGCATGAATGTGTTTACTCACATAGACTTTGAATTATGTGAGGGTGAGATTTTTTTCTAATATTTCTGCCTATATTCATCATTATCAATGGAATAACAAAAGTCAAAAATTTTTCTCTATTGAATTCTGTTAACATATGTGTCCCATTCTAATAGTTATATAAAAAACGATAGAATCTAAGTATTTTTTCATTCCTCTTCTTAAAAACTTGGCACACATCACTTTACATGTTTTAAATAAAGGAAATAGTTAAGTAAGAATATTTGATTTCATTCAGCCGAACATAAACGTCTGCTAAAGTTATATATTTAATGTATTTTTGAACGTTTTCTACGAAGAAGTGTTGTCAGACCTATTACTATACTGGTAGTTCTTATTTTATTTATTACTTAGCAGCCTTTCGATTAGCCGATTAAAAAGTCGCCACTTGAAGGCAAAAACTTGATTTCCCTTGGCTGCCCCATGTTGTTTCCTCTATGATATTGTCAGCTACTCTCATCCAAAGTATCTGAGTTCGTTGTAAAATAAAGCCAATAATTCTTTTTTCTCCGAAACATTGTCTGCATTTGAACTATCTGTTCTTTTCGTATAGGAATACTGGATTTTTGTCGCCGTTATCAGTTCCAGTTATTATTAGTTATAACTGGAACTGGTGGACACCTACATCCCATGCAAATATTATTATAAAATCCTTTTCACGCTTTATGATAGTAGTATTAATGAGGTAAACATTTTAGCTTCGATATCTTGTGGAGAAAATTGAACGATAAGATTCAGTAGAGATCTCTACTGCGACCTATGCCAGTGTTTTAAGACTTTTTAAGAACATTTTCGTGACTAGCGAATCTTTTAGATCAGTTTCTACATTTGCAGAGAGAATTCAAACTATATAAGTCTGCTCATGTAACTATTTAGCTGACTCTTTACATATATATATATATATATATATAAATGATGATAGCAGTATAAATCGTATTCGAAAATAGGTATGTACCAGTACCAGTACTTATACTGATTAATTGGCCAGTTTTTCTGGGTACCCAAACCGTTTGTATACTCAAACGGTTTGGGTACCCAGTTAACTGGTACTGGTGCATAACTATTCGAAAATGGGTTCTAGTTACCGTAGTTTCTGTGTTAAAAATTTGGAGATAAATTTTCCCACCTCACTATTTTTGACCAGTGTGCGAACAATCTTAGCAGAAATAGTGTCCCTGACCAAGTATTGCTACTCTGGTGGATAGAATAAACGATCGTTATGTTATTTCAGCGTTTGATCGTTTCACAAAGAACAATGCCTAGTCCCTCGTTCTATTAATTCGATATGATCGATTCCATCAGACTATTTTCAAAAAATGAACGATATAGTATCGAATGCATCGAAAAAGTTTAAC